TAATAAATTGACTTTGCTGGTTGCGTTCTTTGATTGGTTGTTATAATCTTGCTAATTAGAGATCCATATTGACTTTGCTAGCTCTTAATTGGTTATAGTCTTGCGTGTAAAGTTTTATTGGATCTGCTTCGCTGGCTTGCGAAGTTTATCCTTCTAACTTTGCTCGCTCTTAATTGGTTATAATTATGCCTGTTAGGATTTTGCAAAGTTTATTGGATTTGCTTTGCTGGCTTGCTAAGTTTATCTTTATGACTTTGCTCCCTCCTAATTGGTTATAATTATGCTCTGCTCGCTCCTAATTGGTTATTATGTTGTTCGTTAGATTTCCGCAAGTTTCTCACTGGTTGTTTGTTAGGTTTCTGCGAGTTTCTAACTGGTTGCAATTGTGCTTGTTATATCCTACCGAACAGGTTTCTGCCCAGGTTCCTTTGTACCTTATGCGCTACTGTTATTTCTTTCTCGTTGCAGATGATATTGTTTTTAATCATTGCCAGATGAATCTATTGGTATATGGTCATCAAAGTGGGGCAGTACGGCCTGATCAATATTTTTTCTTTAGTCTTCTTCACGTCCGGTTTGCTCACCTTATGAATCTGCATTATGGGTTTTAAATTATAATAATCATTACTAACCTTTTTGAATATCTTCATATGCGGACGCGCACCCTTTACATGTTTTTTATATTGTACAAAGTACTCTGGTTGACCCTGTATGCCTCCATGAATGATCTGATGCACGTGCAGTGCTCTTCATTCCTACAGGCATTATTCAATATGTTCTGTCTCCTCATGAACGACTCGAGGAGTGGGTGTGGGTCCTTTTTTATGTTTTCCCTGTTACAATTGGCATTCTGGAATGGGAGGATATGCTTAACAATGTCCACTGATATCTGTCTGTACTGTTCCTTGGGGGATGGGTTGATGATTATGTTCTTATAAGGGAAAAGGTGATCCTCTTCTTCAATTCATCCGTCCCCTTGAGGCAGCTGAATATGATGGTATTGTTCCCTTCCTTGGTTTTGCGGCCTAGGGAGCTGGTTGGGATGGGTCTCTTTACTGCGCTTCTGGTGGTTGGGGGTATGTAGTTTGAAGAATCCTCCTCTGGTTCCATTTCATTCTCATTTAGGTCCCTTATGAACTCCTGTGTTAGATGGAAGAAATTGAGTAGTGTGGTTTGTTTAGTTAATTCCTCATCCCTCACCTCCTCATCTGAGTCACCATCCGTTTCGGGATTAGGGTTAGGGTCATCATACTCTAAAAATCATTTTTAGTGCTTTATTAATAAATTATTTATAACTACATGAATTAATCACATTTAGTGTAGTAACAAGTAAAAAAATTACTTAAACCATTACCAATCCCACCAATACCAAGTCGCACCCCATACCTGTAGAGTGTATGATGCAAAACAAGACAAACGACACAACAAAAAACACACCGAGAAAAGTGAGAAGACAAAAGTCCCTTCCTACCTATGTAGCCTACTTATGTAACAAATTACCTTATGCCTTAGCCTACCTATGAAATAAATTACCTTATGCCTTAGCCTACCTATGTAATAAATTATCATATGTCTCAGCCTACCTATGTACCATTCATTTAGCTAATTCTTATG